TGCTGCCGGCTGCTCCGGCCGCGACGGGGACTCCGCGTTGTCTGTCTACTCCTGTGAACCTTCTTCCTTGCCACTTGCATCTTTTAGTGTCTCTCCCCTTCATAAAGCTCCATTTTCCGGTCTGTGTACTGATGTTAAGAGCCTAGAGTAAGGCTAACACTAGAAGTGTCTTATAAACCAGCTCTGTATTACAGCTACAGCTGAAATGATGGTCTGTTTGTTGCTTTAGCTCAGCATGTGAAATGGTTTTGAATCGTGAGCCAGCTGCATAAATTTAACAACATCCAAATAATATTTTGGAATATATTTTTGGTTTTAAAAGACAAGAAAGAGCTATACGTGACTAATGCAATGAATGTCTATAGCTGTAGGTCACTGAATGCTATTGAGTCTCTCAAGTTTTATACTTTTAATTTTTTTAAAAAAATGTATTCATTGCTTTGGAGGAAACCCAAAATGAATAATCTCTTTTCCATTTATCAGTCAGTGCAGGTGAACACTGTATTCTGCTCAGTAAATTTCATCTGATCTCATGTGTCCTAGTGGTCAAATGCTGGGAAAACACCTGTGGCTCTTCTGCCACTGAAAGCTTTACTACTACCAAGTGTTTCCAATCTGTTACAGAAGGCAATTTAAAGCTTTTCCTGAAATAACTCGCAAAAAATCATCCCAGCAGAGGGCAATGGTAAAGATTCTATCTAGACTAATCTGGCGGATGCTGTTTCTCATTTTTTGCCTCTCGGTGATTCCTTAAGGGCTTAGCAAGTAAGGAATAGTTCAGGTACCTATGGTAATGATCTTTCAAACAGCTTAAAAAATGAAAAGATGGAATAAATACTAATGGCTCCTAGTTATTTGTTGAGAGGAGCAGTAGATGTTACTAGATCATATCTTTTTGCCATGGGGGTAGGAACTGAGATCACAAATTGACCGAGTACCATGGGTTTGCATTCCCTTGGGATGGTGCACGCTGCTTCTAACATTTAAGAGAAATTTGAAGCATTACGAGTCTTTGCAATCACATTGCTTTGTACGTGCAGTCAAGTATTTGTAGCAGCACGGCTTCCCTAGCTATGTACAGCACATTCCCAGCTGCAGTACTTTGATCTAGGCTGCTGAATATTCTGGTCTTGATCTGACCTTGTTAAATTTAAGCACAAAGAGCCTCAATTTCTAAAGATTTTCCTTGTATTGAAGTAAACACGCTGTTTCATTCTCGGCTTCTTGTGGAATTGAGCTCATGGACACCTAGTTCATCTTCAGGCTTGAGAGGAAGAGGGGATATTTAATCTACATCTTTCTTCCAAGAACAGTGTTACTCGTATATATATAGTGGGTATTGGATATACCTTTCTTGATTAAACATCTCAATATTTTCTAAAAATTTAGTATTTTTTATAAACTTCCTATAAACTGTTCCTTCTACTGATTTTTATTCTTTTTAAAGCTGAAGACTTCTGCACTACTCCTTCTGCTACTGTATATATTTGAACTTTAAAGCTCCCCTTTATATAATACAGTAACCAGTTTCAACAAGTTCGCTACAATATATACATTTTTAGGTGTCTTACTGACTGGAAATATAGCACCTTACGCCTGCCCCTCTGGAAGATGAAGAATAAAAAGTGTAAAATTCTTAAAATAACACTGTAAAGCACGCTTTTCCCATCGTGAGACAATAAAATTTGGCCAGCTAGTTGAGTGAACTGTAATTTTTTTCTAAAGGAAAAATGTTATGAGCCTTAATTTTGAAATAAATAATTACATTGTATATGGATATCAGAGTTTGAAGGATGAGGAATTTAAACAGCTTTTCTAGCATGCGAAAGAATACTAGCTAAATGATACCTTAGGGCAAATTGTTGTGAAAGCTTAAACCGTACTAGAATGATATAAAGAAGTTTTGGCTTCTGAATTGCAATAAGAAGCAAAGTACTTTGAAAAAATCTGAAAATTTGGAACTCTAAGCTGATGGCCACTCCAGTGGCTTCCTGTATTTTATTACTTTGTTTTTTCAGCCGTAATACTTTCTGGCACTATAAACTGTGTGGAAACTTGTAATTAACTAATAAACTAATATATGCCAATATCCTAATATCAATAATAAATTTATTCTATTCCAAGCCAATTTTTTTGCACAGAAAATTAACTTGACAGGAAGAATGTGAACTGCTATTTCTATTTGGGGTATCCAGTATGGAAAATTTTTCCATGAAGAGGATATGGAGAAAGCCACCCAGTGCCACAAATTGATCTTCGGCAATGGAGAAGGTCTTTTCTTCTTGCAGTGAGACTTTGTTAAATGTCAGAGTTGATAAAATAAAGCCAAGAGCAACCAAAGTTAATGACTTTTGCCTGCGTGGTCACATGTGAGGAAAGGGTTTCACACTCATTATTTTGACATGTTTTTGTTAAAGCTAACTCGCCATATTGGATGACTGAGCTTCACAGAAACAAGAATAAGGATGAGTGCATGGAAAATGGCATTAAATAAGCAGTATCACTGACAGATGATTATTACCCATTTTGCTTATACTAAAGCTTGTAAAAAATAATAGAAAAACATCTTTCAGCATTCTTTTTTGTTTCTCCCAACCACTTTCAAAAAGCAAATTTGAAAATCTTTTCTGTGTGTATGTATTTACTCACTTTTAACTCTGGACGTTCTGTTTAGGTTGAACAAATTATTGCAGAATTTAAGATCAAAGCCCTTGAATGTCATCCTGATAAACATCCTGGAAACCCCAAAGCAGGTATGTATTTTCCCCTGCTTAAAAACAATGTTTTTTTCCTTTTATTAACATGACTAGGATATTAAATTCAGCCTTAAAACTTTATTAAATATTCTTTTCCTCCAATATTGTCATGCATATTGAGAATATTGTCTTTAAATAACATTTTAGTATTATTTTCTAACACTTCCACACTCCTAGGTGATAGAGCAGGAAGGCACTTTTTGGATTTTTTTTTTTCCCTAGAACTTTGATTTTTTTTTTTTTCTTTCTGTGGTAGAACATCTTTTAATCCAGAAATTGTCTATAGATTGTATACGTTTTTAGACCTATGAAGTTGGCCTTCTTCCATGCTCACTGGCATTCAGGTGCCATACTTGGGTCAACTAGTTAATTTGCTTCCACAAACAAGCCCATCAGGAACATATTAAATGTACTTTAGTTTCTTTTAATGTAATTTAGTGCTTGGAAATAAAGAGAAGCCAGCACGGCATGAGCAGCCATCTGTTTGCAGAACAGCATCTAACATTTGCATTTATGAAATCTTGCAGTTTGTCGTACCTGTGACAGCTAAGCAGCACCTGAGTATTTGGAGACAATCTTACCCATTCATAAGATATCTCTAATCAGTGTTCACCGATGTCTGAATTGTTTATATTCTTATACTAAAGGTTGTTCTGATCATAATTATGGTCCCCAGCAACAATTTCTTGTAGAATAATTAAATATACTTCTCATTTTGATTAATGCACACAACTTTGCCTTTGGATTCTTCCTGTTAGTTACTGAATATATATAAACTGAATCAATACAAACTGAACAATATTAAGCATGAACTTGGCACCAGAGCCTACCTACTCGATTGAGACTGACCTCACGCACACCCTCCTCTGAGGCAGCAGAGCTGCAAGCACGGCGGCTGTCTGGCGGGACTCCCCCTTCACAGAGCGCTCGGCAGGGCTTGCCATTCCTCGCTGACAGGCCATCCAAGCCTGGAATCGGGGAGTTGACAAGAAGGGAATGTTAAAAGGTGAAATAAGTGGGATTTTTCACTTTGAGATTCCCTGACAAGGAACCACCTGAGATTTGGTGTTCGAGAGACAATCTACCACCTATTAACAATACGCTGATCACTCATATTTAATTTATTCTAAAGGGCCAATGAAACCAATGGAATCAACTTTACAGAAAATTCTGGCTATCGCAGCAGGGAAATGAGACTATTCTAGTGCATGGTCCTGTTCTGTCTGCACTACCCCCCAGTCCCGTCCTCCTCCCACCACGCCCCTTCCGATTAATTGAAATTAAGTAATTCAAAAAGGGAGGCCAAGTCGGAGCAGCTTTGTTTGTTAAGAAGAAATATTTTATGCTCCAGTTGCCTGAACATGCTGTATTTATGTTAAATAACTTCTTACAGTACTGGTGAAAGTTTATATTTTTTATTTCATCAACTTAAATCTCAATAAAGTGTAATTAAAGTAGACCTTTTATTTGGTGAAAACTAGTAACACTAGAAAAAGGAAACCTAATAGAACTGTCTCCTCAACCTGCTGTCTGCTGTTTGATTTATAGTTACCAGTTTTGATTAGTGTTTGGGCTTAGTGTGTGTCAAAACAAATCTCTCCAATTTGTAAACTGGAATAAATGAATAGTAATAATAGATGACTGTAGCATAGGTGACTCACATATAAAATCCAAATCTTTATAACCCTTCTACAAATAGTAACATGCAGCTGCATCCTTAGTAACCATTTAATGAAAAATTACGCTGCAGGGAAAAATAAGATCTCTTATTCAAGCAGTCTGGTATTCAAGACAACATTTTAGCGTAGGCAGAAAACATACATAATAAAACGCACGTTAATTCATTTGAACTATATTTAGATTCCTCTTCTTGCTTGTCCATTTTTGCCTGTCTTTTTTTTTTTTCCTTGGTGTTGTGCTTTGCTCTGACCTCCTTGCTGCTGTGGATTTAAGTTTATTCCTTCTAAGCATTATTACTCTAGTTTAATTTCCTTTTTTAAGGTTGCCTGCAGGGGCCTGCTTGTGCCTTTTGCCTGCTATACTCTGTAAGTCTCTTTGAACTTAAATTTAGAGGATTCTGAAGCTATCAGATGTCCACCAAAGGTGATGTGATCCCAGAGTTTGTTTGTGTTCTAGTGGAGAATTTCCAGAAGCTGCAGCAAGCTAAGGAGATTCTTGCTAATGAAGAGACTCGAGCGCGTTACGATTACTGGCGCCGAAGCAAAATTGCCATTCCGTTCCAGCAGTGGGAGGCCCTGAGCAGCTCTGTGAAAACGGTTGGTGTTGCCTGAGTTTGGGCCTTCAGGAGGAGTGTGGGGATGAGTTACAACACTTCTGCTGCACTGGCGGGTTTTGGGGATGGCAGTAGTGCAGCGTGATGTTAAGGAAATTTGGCAAAAATTGGAGGCCTAGAGAAGCCCATTCACAGAAGGGTTTTAGGCTAGTAGCTTTAGAGGGAACTTAGCAACTGGCTGCTTTTACGTGTATTCTATGAAGGGTAAGTAACTTAAGGGCCGCTTTCTGCTGTCCTGTTGACCTGCAGGCTTCTCTCTAATACGTGCTTTGTTTAACCATTTCTTACAAAAATGTAAGGAAGAAAAACTAAGCTCATTAAAAGTCTTTTTAAGCATAGGAATTAGTTCTTTGTTTGTTATTTTTGCATTTCTTTAGTCAATGCACTGGGCTGTCCCAAGTAAGAAGGACCAGATGCTGGAAGCTCCTGACTTGGATAATAGCAACAACATAACTAATGAGATTTGGACCCAACCAAAGAATGAAGACAGATTGTCAGATGGGGACAGGGAGCAAGAGGATGTTGCAATTCCTGATGTGAAACCACAGGCTTCAAAGAGTCCAGACTCCCCAAGTAAGTGAAACCAGCAGTTGGAAAATTGCAGTATCTAGGGATTGGCTTGAAATGAAGGCTTTTAGTCATGAGAAATTCTCAAGAATAGTATGTTTAATTGGTATATTTTTTTATGTGGTTTTGATTTGGGTTTTATGTTGTTTATTAATTTCGTTTTAAAGATTTCAGACCTTTCTTCCTCCCTACCCCACGTTTGCTTGCTTGTTGGCTAGTAAAACCAAAGACTGGAGAAGAAGAAAAAAAAGTTCTTCTTAAAACAAAATGGAAAGTTCAATGTTGCTGCTATACCAAAATGAAAAAAAAAAGAGGCAATTATTTTCAGTGCTTCTTCTAAAAAAAATACTTTAAAAACTGTTAAATAAAATGTTTAGGTATTATATTCTTTTTTATGTCCCATGCTTCTGCCCAGTTTGCATCTAATGAGTTAATAAGGACAAAAAATTGAGATTTGAATGCTTCTTTTGCATTTGAGAAGTTTTTATAAAGACACAGTGCAAGCAGCAGAATAAATGTGTATTTCAAAAAGCTGTCATCCGGCCAGTTAGTATTTCCTGTCTGTTGTCTAGGTTAGCATGCCTGAATCAAAGTTTATGTACCACAAGAGCCACCTCCTGTTCTGCTTGATCCTTCAGGAGTTTCATAATCTTATGCTCATGTTACTGGAGAACTATTACTAAACAAAGTCCTGCCATTTGTTCCCAGCTTGATAAAACAGGAAATTAGGTTGAACTGTGAGGGTAGCTAAACCTAATTTATTACCAACATTTGTGGAATGCAGAATATAGATAAGAAAATTCTAGGAACAAATGTGAAAAATTTATATTTTAATACTATGCTCTATAACGTTTATACTATTTGCTATTTTTTTTGTAATTAAATCATTACTGTATCCTTTGTTGAACAGTAAAATTTTAAAGTGAAAGAAACAGCATCCTCCTCTTAATGATGAACTTTCTTTGCAGGCGTCTTCCTTCTCACAGTTTTTTAAGTTTTAATTTGATTTCTACAGATTTGAATGGGAAAATACAAAACCCATCAAATGCCTACTTAATTTAACCAGCAGGCACAGATTTATATTAATAAATGTTAATATTAGAATACATTTATTTGACAGGGCCTGTATGAACTTTGTTGTTCATATCTGATGCTAGGATGTTGATAGTGCTTTTGTCTTGGTCCAGGAAAATGTGTTATACTGGAGTCCACTTTTAAACTGAGGTATTTTCCATTTCTGCCTGCTGGTCTGTAAGAATTACAGATTACAACTCCACGTAGCTATTGCATCCTGAATAAAAGATTTTAACACCAAGCCTGGTAACAGGTTTCAGCTTCCCGATGTAGAAAGATCACAATTTAGTATTAAGAGCCCATAGATCATCAAAAACACAGCACAGGGCCTGAAAAACTCCTTCACTCTCTTGTGTGTGTAAAGGGCCGTCTGTACCTTTCCTCTACACTGCTGCCCTTCACGTACTTGGGGATTATCATGGCACCTGTATCTCTTCTTCTTTAGATTAAACAAATGCAATTTGTTCAGGGTTTTTGGTAAGTCCTCTTATTCTAGACTGCTGTTGTTCTGGCTGTTCTCCTTTGCACGCTTCCCAGCTGTTACATATCTTGCAGTTTGGTCTTTGAGGTCTTGTTCAAACGGTGCCAAGAATACAGAGGTTGTCCTTGCTAGTCAAGAGCACTGGAAGTGACCAATTCTTTTACTTACATTTTTGGGGGAAGATTACAAAGTATTATTTCAGACAACTTAGTTTCATACATGTAATAATTTACTTGCCTTTCTCTTCTTTTTTTCCTCAGGATTTTCAGAGGCAAATTACTGGCACTTGCGTTTCCGCTGGTCAGGGGATGCTCCATCAGAGCTTCTGAGGAAATTCAGAAACTATGAGATCTAAAATGCAAAATACACAAGAGCGTGAGATCATCTGTTCAACAATTCAGTATTGTTTTTGTCAGCAGTTTTAAGTTAGTTGTATTATGCATTCATTCATTGTTTGAATAAATGTCTTAATACTGATTAACACACGTGCTATGAGCGTTACAGGTGGAGGTCTTTTTGTTTAATAAGCAAAGCCCTGTGCAGTATTAACATAAAGTGATTTTGTGAAGTTATCTAACATCTTATGTATTGCTTCTTGTATTCTTAAATATTGTACAGTGAATGATAGCTTTTTCAATACTGTGCTATTATAAAGAATGCACTCCGGATAGAACCAAAAGTCAATGTTAGACTTTATCATATCATCCTGTTCAGTGATGATCCTCCAAAAGCTATATGGTGTTGAACTTCAAACAAGACTAAACAAGACAATTCTAAACTATGTACTCTGGTTCACTTCTCCATTGCAGTGTATTGTAGCAATTTATAATGCATGCGTGCACAATCTTATTACCAGGTTAACTTGCTGGAGATTTGTGATCTTATGTTACAGATGAAATAAGAACCTTCTTATTAGCCAAGGTCAACGTGATAGATCAAGCGCTCAATCACTTGCTTTCTATCTTAAAAAGTACGTATTTTGCACCAGGTGTCTGTTTTGGAAGGCAGTTCCAGAGCTTTACTTCTGCAGTTAGCAACTTTCTTCTTCTTAAGATTTATTGGTGGACAACTAATCTCTCTTGTATGTGTACCAGCATTGTCCTGTGGCATAATAGTAATTTCCCTCCTTGTTTGGCCCGGTAGATGGGGTCTCATCAGAGTTTTGTATGGTGAGGAATGAGAATTGGGCCAGTCAGCATTAATGTGTACAAAATCTCACACAAAAGGTTTTTGATATGTCAGGCAACTTTTAAAATTCGATATTGCATTTATTTATTTTGTATTTACTTCTTTGTAAGCCTGGCTAATGTCAGGTGTTTATGTTGTGGTTTTGTACAGGCAAGTAATTCTATCAGCAAGAAATAAAACTGCATGCATACAGAAGGGGGTTGGTTTAAATTTTTTTAATTGAAATCCTCTACTTAACCCAGAGATCCCTCTTGAATTTCTTGTTATTTATCTCCTCAGTGGGTTAAAGCTCATGGGAGTCCAGTTATGAATCTTGGGCATCTCCATGGAAAGTCTCATCTGAAAACTACAGTGTTCTCCCAACACAGAAATAATATTATGATGTTCAGCCTGGAGAACAGAAGGCTCTGGGAAGACCTTGTAGTGATCTTCCAGTACATGAAGGGTATGTTATTTGGCCCTGTATGTTAGGGACTGTTAGGAATGCCCAGAACTTAGGTATAGTGATGATGGGGATGAGTGTCTGGGTTAGGTTAAGGGGCAAGGCCAGTGAAGCTGATATTGCTGTGGGAGTCTGCTATAGACCTCCCAACCAGAGCAGTGAGGTGGATGAAACGTTCTGTAAGCACCTGCGAGAAATCTCACAGTCATTTGCTGTTGTTCTTGTGGGGAACTTCAACTTCCAAGGTATCTGCTGGAAATACAACACAGCAGAGAGGGAACGATTCTGGAGGTTCCTGGAATGTATGGAGGGTAGCTTCCTCACACAGCTGGCAAGTGAACCGACCAGGGAAGGTGCCCTGCTGGACCTCCTGTCTGGGAACAGAGAAGGCCTTGTGGAGGATGTGGCAGTTGGAGGATGTCTAGGGAACAGTGACCTTGAACTTATTCTCTATTCTTAGAGGTGTTGTAGGGGGGCACCAAAACAGCCACTTTGGACTTCCAAAGGGGAGACTGACTTGTTTAGGAGGTTACTTGATAGAATTCCTTGAGAGTCAGGTTTGAAGGGCATAGGAGTTCAGGAATACTAGACACTTTTTAAGAAGGAAACTTAAAGGCATAGGAGGAGGCCATCCCCACGTGCTATAAGATGAACTGGCAGCAAAGACAACCAGCTTGGCTGAAAAGGGAGATCTGGCTGAAAAATCAGGGAAAAAAGGAGAGTTTATGGCCTCTGGAAGAAGGAGCAGACCAGTCATAGCGAGTACAAGAATGTTGTTAGGTCATGCAGGGAGATAATTAGAAGGTCCAAAGCCAAGCTAGAAATTAATCTGTCTTTGGAGGTAAAGGACAGCAATAAAAGTTTCTATAAATACATTAACAACAAGAGAAAGACCAGGGAGAGCCTCCATGCCCTACTAGTCCCAGGAGGAAACATGGTAACATATGAGGATAAGGCTGAGATGCTTAATGCCGCCTTTGCCTCAGTCTTTAGTAATAGAAACACCTGTACCAAGGGATGCCAGCCCCCAAGCCAAGAGACAGAGGCCAGGAGCAAAATGTACCCCCCATAATCCAGGAGGATATGGTCAAGGACCTGCTGCTCCACATTGATGTGTACAGATCTATGGGGCTGGATGGGTTTCATCCTAGGGTTCTGAGAGAGCTGTTCTGAGAGAGCTGGCAGGAGTGCTCGCCAAGCCACTGTCCATCATTTATCAGCAGTCCTGGCTGACTGGGGAGGTCCCAGCTGACTGATGCCAGCCAGTATAACACCCAGCTACAAGAAGGGATGGAAGGATGATCCAGGGAATTATAGGACTGTCACTGTGACTTCAGTGCCAGGGAAGCTGTTGGAGCAGATCACGCCAAGTTCCATTATGCAGCACATGCAGGACAGCCAGGTGGTCCGGCTCAGTCAGCACGGGTTTACGAAGGGCAGGTCCTGTTTAACAAATCTAATCTCCTCCTATGACTGCTTGTGGGATGCAGGAAAGGGTGTGGATGCTGTCTACCTTCACTTTAGTAAGGCATTTGACACGGTTGCCCACAGCATTCTCCTCAAGAAATTTACTGCTCTTGGCTTGGATGGGCATAGGCTTTGCTGGGTAAAAAACTGGTTGGATGGCTGAGTCCAAAGAGTTGTGGTCAATGGAGTTAAATCCAGTTGGTGGCCGGTCACGAGTGGTGTCCTCCAGGGCTCAGTGCTGAGGTCACTCCTGTTTAACATATTCATCAGTGATCTGGACAAGGGGATAGCGCGCACCCTTAGCAAGTTTGAGGGTGGAAGTTTGCTGAATGGAAATGTCAATGTCTGCTTAAGAGTAGGGAGGCTCTACAGAGGGATCTAGACAGGCTGGATCACTGGGCCAAGGCCAATCCCATGAGTTTCATTAAGGCCAAAATGCCGGGTCCTGCACTTTGAACACAACAAAGGAGTAGGGAGGTGATCATTCCCCTGTGCTCGGCTTTGGTGAGGCTGCACCTCAAGTACTGTGTCCAGTTTTGGGGCGCTCACTACAAGAGGGACACTGAGGTGCTGGAGATGCTACAGAGGCAGGTTACCAAGCTTTTAGAGGATTTGGAGCATGTGTCGTACAAGGTGTAGCTGAGGGATCTGGGGCTGTTTACCCTGGAGAAGACTGAGGGGAGACCTTATCACTCTCTATAATCACCTGAAAGGAGGTTGTAGCGGGTGGGGGTTGATCTGTTCTCCCTAGTGGTGAGTTACAGGACAAGGGGAAATGGCCTTAAGTTGCACCGGGGGAGGTTCAGGTTGGATTTAGGAAGAATTTCTTCACTGAAAGGGTTGTCAGCCATTGGAACAGCCTGCCCAGGGAGGGGGTTGAGTCGCCATCCCTGGAGGTGTTTAAGAGACAGGTAGATGTTGCATTGAGGGACACAGTTTAATGGTGTTGATAGGGCTAGAAGAAAGGTTGTATTCGATAATCTTGAAGGTCTCTTCCAACCAAAACGTTCTATGATTCTATGATTCTGTGACCGTTTACAAGGGACTGTAGTGATAGGATGAGGGTTATTAGTTTTAAACTGAAAGAAAGTAAATTTAGATTCGATATGAGGAAGAAATTCTTCGCTGTGAGGGTGATGAGGCACTGGCACAGGGTGCCTAGAGAAGCTGTGGGTGCCCCCTTCCTAGGAGTGTTCCAGGCCAGGTTGGACAGGTCTCTGAGCAAGCTGATCTGGTGGGAGGTGTCCCTGCCCATGGCAGGGAGGGTGGAACGAGCTAATCTTTAAGGTCCTTTTCAACATAAACCATTCTATGATTCTATGAAATGCTCCACATGACACTACCCATAGCAATGTGGCCCCTTGGCCTCTGCACTGATAAGCATGACACAGTTAGCATGCTTCATATAAATTAGAGCTGGGGTTGTAAGGTGGATCTCTCAAGCTTTGTAAAGATGTGAATAAGAGGCAAGAGTCAGATATCCATACTTTTTCAGTGGCCAGCTGAGCACTTGATCTTCTTTGCAAAGTGGAAACAGCTGCAGGACAGTTGAGGGGGTGGGGAACACCTAACAAGCCCAGGCACTATATATTACAATCAGAGGCTGGGAATTCCAACTTGGGGGAGAGGGCAGCTACTTGTGAGAGAGGGTGAGTGCTCCTTTTTATTTTTTTTTTCCCTTTGGCACTTCTTTTGAGTATTTTAAGTGGGTAAAAAAATTCTGAAGCTTCTGAGGGGTATGGCTGGGTGTGTGTTTTCACTATGCAGCCATTGAGTATTACCATGGTTGCATGCTCAGTCAGCTATAAAGCTAAATGGCTTAGCTTATTCTGGTATGAAAATCAACAGGCCTGTGAAGTGAGCCTGTATGCTCTGGAGTCTAGTTAAAAGTATTCATTAAACTTGGCCATTACAAGACTTGTGAGGGCTGACGAGATTTTAGCTGGAAGGTATGAGATGGTAAAAGGTGGATGATGATAAAAAACCTGGCCTATTCTCTGTATTTTGTTAATACTGTGTTTCTAGGTCTCTGAAACTGTATCAACCAGTTTCATAGCATCAGAAATTAACTATTAAGCCAGCTGTTTACAGTGCAACTGAACAGCTTTGGGGGGATTCTTGAATTATATAAAATGAATATATTGTTAGTTACTGGTGTCATGCCTGTTCTTGTGCAGGTGTTGAATACATAAGATCTGGAACATTCTAGTTCTTCACAAACTTTTTGTTTTGCCAATATTCACCAAGTTATTTTGCCA